TATGGTAATTGGCTAACTAATTAACCATAGAAATTAAAACAGGAAATACTTAAGGCAAAAAAGAGCTATCCCGAATGATATCCCGATCGATGTTAAAAAAAGAGATTTTATTTTATTTACAAAAAAGATACTTTTCACAAAAGACGGTAAACCTGTAGAAAAAGCCATATGTGAGGTTTTGTCAGGTTGATTAATGTCTTGCTGAGGGAGATGGGAAGAAAGGCAGATATTAAGATATCGACCAGACCATGATGGTCATAAAAATTTCGGCTTGAGACGATCGCCGATACAGGCAGGGAGAATCAATGTTAATTATCTTTCCAAGATATCGTTTATTCTTTTTTCTTGGCCACCGGCGAGAAAAAGCAATGTGGCAATTATAAAATTTTGGCATTGTCTCGACATAGGTGAAAGGATTGTTATTATTTACCTTATCAACGTGTCGCTTCAGACACTGAAATGTTGAATAGCAATATGGCATTTGTAAAATTTTGGCATGAGACAGAAAATAAGGTGGAGAATTGAGATTTGGCAAGATAAAAGAATTTAATTTCTCAACAAGCCAAGGATTCCATTATAAAGCTAACTTCACAAAGGGACCAGATGGCAAATTTTGACAGTGATTGATGGAGTTGGTAGAGAGTGCTGGCTAAGTGTATTCTGGGTGGCCAAAAGATATGATAGATAGTTAATTGGTAATATGGAATTGGTAAAAATTTTGGCCAATGTAAAAAAGGAGAATTTTGTAAACAAAAATTGTAGATTATAATTTTAAGGAGGCCAGCTTAGCCATAGCCACATGGCTGGGATGCCATTCATCAAGTGATAGCAATGGTGATTGGTGGAGGTGAATGGATGAGAAAGAGAAGTTAACACCCACTGAAGGGATTGGTATGCAATATCAATGTGAGAGAGAAAGAGTCTAGGAGGATAGCTCTCCTCTGACCTTCCCTCATGGATGACGGAGACCCTCCTGAAATGGAAAGTGATTTCCTGGCCTGACAACAAAGAGATTTCTTGTTAGAAATTGAGATTTACTGAGAACCCCAGGCCGTGTCTGGCCCCACACCGGGTTTTGGTTGGTACCCATATAAAAGAATATCCTCGTGTCTTTCAGAGAGTTCTGAGTTGGAGTCACAGTTGAGCTGGTTTTGGAGTTAGTCAGAGCTTAATGAGAGTATTGCCTCGCAGAAGCTGACCAAGAGATTCCATGACCTCCGACTTCGCCCATTCTACCAATAGCAAGTTATATTGACGAACGAAGCCAAGCCAACACCTAAGAACTAAATCAGTTGATTTAAGATACCAACTTGCTTGAAACATAGGAGTGTCACATTTCGTAGAAAACGGGCTGGGAGAAAAACACACTCCTGTATATAATAAAAGGATAAAGTTAATTTGTTATTTCTTAACATACTTGAACCTCTTGGGTTTTTCTTTTATTTATTTATTTTTTCCTTTGTGCTTATGCGATACCACCTTCAGTCTGGACTCAGCCTATACTACGGCCTGATGCCTGATTGATTTCGTCTACCTAAGATCAAAGTCACAATGTGGGTAGGTTAGACTTGAGATCAAAGCAGTTACTCCAGTAACCAGACATTGCAAGTGAGCTGGGAACGATAGAGCTGGCATTGAACTGGTACAGCTGGTGAAGCCGTTAACATTGACGACCAGAATTCGACCCTGGATGTGCCAGTGTCCCATATTGGTATCCCGACCAGGGGATTTCACTGAGTAGCGATGACCACTGATCGACTGGGACACAGGCTGGTGGCATCGACAAAGAGTCAACCCCAAAACGCTGGTAGAAGAAACATTGCAGTTTTAGGCTGCAACTGGGAGTTGACCATGGGCCAATGGCTAGGTGTCACAATAACACTGACATTGTATGTGTTAAGAATAATATGGATTGGCAATTTTTTCCTATGATCAGAGCATGTGCCCTTTTCTAATATCAGTGTGTAGTATCTTTTCATTCTGCCCCCAGATTAAATGGTTGTTTTTCTGTACTCCTGCCTCAGTTCAGAGCTAGGTGGTCTGTGAAAAACACACACAAATGCACATAACAGGGCTACAATTTATACTAAGAATAAATATACATTTCTTTCTTAATATTTGGTGCAATGTTTTATGCACATGACAATTGTCAGGCACAAATTGAAAATTTGGTATTTTAAAATGTTAATATTAATATTTATAAGCTACTATAAACATAGGGAGCAGTACATTTACTTATATAAAAATATATGTATGTATGTGTGTGTGTGTGTGAAAAAATTTTTAAAAATGGATTGAATACAAAAAACAAATACACACACACACACACACACACACAAGGTCAAGACCAAGCATATATGATAATTTATTGAACGAGAGATGCTGGTAATCTTAAATTTAAAATTCCCAGCATCTCTCATTCCTGCATGCGTAGTCTGATAATGTCCTAAAGGAATCTGGCATTTAAAAAATTATTAATTTTAATTAAAAACCAGTTGCATAACTCCACACAACAATCCATGAAAACGAATGAGCAACATTAGAACGTACTGAGGGGGTGGGAAAATAATATAAAATAAAAGTTAATAAGATTTTGGCAAATTTACCAATAACACAAAACAGCTTATTTGGAAATTTGAAAGATTTTATAAAAACATTTGATAGAATTTGTCCATATAATTTAACAAAACATGTTTGAGAGAATTCTTGCTGCCGAAATACACCTTATAACTTTTTGCCTTTCTAGACATTGACATCATTGTAAAATGTAACAATACGATTTCTTGCACATCATTAGGAGATAAATAGATTTTTTTTTTTTTTTTTTTTTTTTGCTTTTTTTTAAGTGTATTTAATTACCAGAGTTTTCAGGATTCCAATCTCCAGCCCACAGAATTGGCAAACATAAAATTTTGTTAGTGATTTCAGATAATCATAAAAGTAGACTCCTTTGAAAAACTGACCACCTATCCAGCTTTTGGGTGGTCTTTTTTTCTGGAAGACAAGTGGCCAGATAGTGGGGTGTGAGACCCCAGCTAGTGTCTATATAATAAGTAGTCAGTGATGGGCAGTAAGTGAGGAAGAGACCAGTGAGGAGTCAGCAGTTGTCAGTGAATGTAAAGGTCCTCTTTCTGTGGTCAGAATTTAGTAAGATAGCAGTTCACCTTCTTGAAGCCGAAGGAAGACAATACCGTAGTTATGTGATAAATTGTATTGTTTGTTATTTCCAAATCAGTTTCTTGCAAAACATAGTTGTTATTCTTTGTTGAATTCGATCAACCGAATAAGACAAACCATTGAACATAGCTAGCCAGGTGTATATATGCATATAACCAACCTTGGATGTTATCACAGTTGTGCAGTGACGGACATGCAGAAGTCATCATCCCAAAAAAGACTTAGTCAATACTAAACAAAACAATAAGTTAAAGCCTGAACGAGAAATTTACTTGTCACAAAAATACATCGGCGAAACCTCAAGGAATCTAAATAAAAGATTATATGAACACAAAAGAGACATTTTACAAAACAATATGTCAAATGCATTGGTTGCACGCTGTAACAAGACTGACCACAATTTTGACATAAAAAAACACTTCTCTTATCAAAGGAGAAAATAATTCATTATGACGTAAATGTCTAGAGAGTGCCTTGATCACTAGGTCATCTACAGTAAATTTTCACCCTGTCTCTTACAACATTTCACATTTCCTGACAGATCTTCTATTATTACAGTTTTGGATTCCTACTAACAAAAGTGATTGAAAGAAAAAGTTAAAGACTCCAAATGAATTCAGATATTAAAAAAAAAAAATTTTTTTTAATCTCCAGCACCTCTCATTTGTGCGTATATGTAGTCCCACCAACTTAATGAATTTAGTTCGATTAAGTCCTAAAGGACAAAATACGTCACAAGAAAACTTTGTCATCCAATTTCCCCAATACTGTTCTTGATATATAAGAAATATATTATCTCATCTATATATATATATATATATATATATATATAGTCATCCACAGACTGTTTTGCTGTGTCACAGCTCATCATTGTAGCTAGATACCCAATTGCTTCAGACTGGGACCGAAACTCAACCAATATAGTATCAGTCAGAGATTATAACCCCTAGGCCATCAATGCCAGACAGAGAGAAAGGCGAATTTTTGCGTATTCATTTTTTTATAAACACACCAATCACTCAGAACTCAATCGCTTGCATTATCAGTAGTAATAGTGACAGATATATATATATATATATATATATATGGCATTTTTAATGAGTTTTCCTATAAAAATGTATTGAAAATCAAGAAAGAATTGTTCGTGGTCAGCCAGTTATGAAAACATTACTGAAGACTAGGGTTGTTATATGTATAATTAATGAGATTTGATGATGAGATGTGAAGAGAATGTTTACTTTATAGTTTTATCACTTTAAACATTATTTTTTTTTAGTGGATACTCATATTTATTTATTTATTAACAGTAGATTTTCATTTACTGGCCTAAAACATGTCTGATCTGATAAGTTTCCTTCTGCCCAGTGGGATGCAGGTTCAAATCCTACTGGAAAGTGCATATTTTTCTTTGGGAAGATTTTTTGAATATTTGGGGGGCCAGTAGATGAAAATAAATAAATATACTGTTTAATAAATAAATGGAGTGTCTACTCAAATAGGAGTGTCCACTAAAAATAATGTTTAATGTGATAAAATCTGTCGGATTAACAATTACAAAATCCATTTCTTTAGAAAATATTTTTTGTACAAATATTATAATGTTTTATTTTTTAAAATGAAAATAAAATACTATCAATGAATAACTGCTTTTTTTTTTTAATTTTGGATCCAGGGCCTAGAAGAAATATTTTTATTACAAATGGTTGCTGTTCTATATAATCACTTTTTATCTCAATTTCTCTATGACTTTGGGGCTTTGGTTTTTGATGAGTTAGAGACAAAATAGAAGTTGAATTGGATCATTTTTTTTTTTTGTCTTTCAGCCATCATCACCTGACATCTATACTGGCCACAACTCAAAACAAAGTGCCATACATGTGTACATTCCGACATTTATGCTGAGGGGCTACAATTCCGATACTCATTATGAGTATGAAGTCAAGGTAGGTCCACAGCTTTAATATTGACCTCATCATACATAAAAGAAAGGACATCTTCTATGTACCATATCTCTTCATGATGTAGGCAACCATGGCACTTTACAACTTCCTGTCCCCTCTTATTTCTCTTTCATTTCACTGCAAGCAAGGTAATAAGGCCACTAAGACACAACGGGTTACTGAGTGTTAAAACATTTGAGAGAAAAAAAAAACATTATTAAAGAGAGAGGTTGTTAAAAGAACAGGATTCAAGAAGGTATTGCATTTAAAATTTTTGATCAATTTTGACTGGAAAGCAAAAAATCCAGAAGAAAATTCTACAAGTGAGAAGTGCAAGTGAAGAAACTGTTAGCATAGAACTTACAGTTACATAGATATCTCCATTTCATATGTAAAATGAGGAGACCTAGCTGCCAATCTAGTAATTCACTTAAATTTGTAAAGTCAAAATACCAAAGATGAAAGCTCATCAGAACAATTACCTTGAAATCACCTTGTAGATTTTAGCAGCATTTATACCTTTGCCAAGAATCTCCTCCCTCTATTTCGCCATTCATTCACACAAACTCATCAGGCGGACTGCTGCTTTCCCCTGTCTCTTTTGCCTTTGATGTCCTGTGAGTGTCAAATTCTTCAAGCCTGCCTTCCACATGTCCAATTTCAACTGTCTCTTCCTGATTCTAAATATAAGTTTGAAGGTTAGTCCTTTCTTCTTGCTTTCTTTTACTACCTTGTCTAAGAGGTTCTATAGCTTTCCTGACATTAACACAGTTTCATCTACATATATTGTTAAGATTGTGCCTATTGATAATAAATGTTAGTTTGATTCTCCAGCCATCTTAAGATAGCATGACTGTAGAAGCTGAATAAATCCATTGAGAAGACACATCCTTACACCCGAGGGATGTTTAATCCTTGTGCTCGCAAAAAACAGTGTGTCAAAAGAACGTTTATACCCTTGACACTGCTATAACATTATGCACTTTTGAGTTTCTCAGTAATGCTTATTGCTTTAAAAAATGATGATTAGAATTTTAATAAACCACACACATATAAAAGTCGATTTTTATACATTTTCTTTATTCTTGAAAATTGACAAAAAAGATATTAAACACCATTTATTAGATTGCTTATTTACAAGAAGAATTTTATATTTACAGAATTATAAATATATATATGAACCAACTATAATGAAATATTTATTATTAACCATTTTACAAACAAATGTAAAAAGAATTTTTTTTATTCATAAAATTATAAAAATGTCTCTGAACAGAAAAATTTAAATAAACACTGTGATGAGCATTAATTATAAATTTTGAAAAAATGCTTTTTCTGGGCATTACTTTTATTTGGTCTTGCCACGTAAGTTCACTAAATTAGGTTGAGAGCATCTCTTCATCTGAAGTAAACATTCTTTTAATTTTAGATTTTAGATGAGACCACAAAGAGTCAATATTTTGAGTGTGTATCTCCCTATTCAATGGGTGGGTAAAGTTTTCCTTGTGTTTAGATACTGTTATACCGGAACATTACCTATTCTATTGTAATAGACTCTCCCACAGATAATAAGTAGTAGTAGTAGCAGTCGCCAGTTGGGCTCAGTGAAGTTGTGTGAGTCAGTCAATGTCGGACATTGAAGTATCAACCCCCACAACTAGATTGCTGTGTCATTAACTATTATTTCAAGTTCCTAACGCTTTGTACGTCGGACCCTTTTAGGACCGACTTAGTGAGATACAAGCCTCCACTGTGAAAACTACTCTACAACAGATACAGAATGTCGATAATTACAAAAACTTGTTTTCATAGTTATTTATAAAATGGTAAATAATAAATATTGCATTATTGTTGGTTTACATAACCCTAACCTAAGGGTTACATAATTTGGTAATTTTTTATAAATTTTTTAATAAAAAGATTTCTTTTCATATTTGTTTCTTTATAAAAAGTAAATAATAAACATCTCATTTTACTTGGATCACACATTTTTATAATCTTGTAAACAAACATTAGCGAGGGAGTCAAAAATATATAAAATAATAATGGTGTCAAGGGAATAATCACCCTTTTAACACATCATTTTTTTTCTGGCAGGCAAATGGTTGCTGCTCTATATAATCACTTTCTATATCAATTTCTCTGATTTTGGGAGCCTTTGATATTTGATGAGTTAAAAACAAAATATTAGAAGTTAAACATTGCCTAAGCTCCTGAAGTAGTGTATGTTACCACTACTGCAAATTAGAAGGGGTTACTACTATTATGAGTGTGGGATTTTTGTTGTAGTACTAAGAGAAAAAGTGTAACAAGTTACTGTAACTTTAAGTATCTCGCTCCATATTGTTGCAGAGGAATCATCCAGCTGAAAATGAATTGTGAAGGAAAACATGAAACAGGAAACACAACAGTATATTGAGTTGAAACCTAATTCTTTTTTATGTAATTATCTGTTGGTTATAAATTGCCAGATGTCTTTGATGTTTATTAAATTGTGACATGTGATACACTACATAAATTCTTTTGTATTGTAATTATTTGTTTGTATTATGTATTCTTTTTTTTTTTTTTTTTGTATGTTTAGCTTGAATGTCTTTGTCCCAAATTCTTTTGAGGATTAAACTGAGAAACCAGTAATGAGATTTGGAAACTGGTTTTTCTTGGTTTTATAGTAGTCAAATTTTTAAATCTGTTGTCTTTGGGAATCAAAAGTCCTACTGCTTTCTCTAGTGGGTAAGTGGACACTAATTCTAGTCTAACACAGATTTTGGCAGTAGAAGAAAGGAAAGGTTTTCTATCTTTAGTTGTGATGAAATATCACTAAGAGACCACTATACCCTTTTCTATTTTTATATACTGTTATACCGTACATATAGACTATAATGGGTATGTCCCAATCCATATGTACAGTAGAATATGCAGTAGAGATTTACTTGACACACCCCACTGAGTCAGGTTGTGACACAAGGTCAATTTTTAATGTGGGGACCTGAGTGTTTTCACTCGGGTAGCTGGTCCAAGCAGCTCAGAGCTAGTCATAGCTGATCTTGGCTTGTCTAAGCTAGTCGTAGCCATGATACCACCAGCACCGGGACGGATCCCTGAGCCAGGTAAGTAGAATATACTGTATGTGGTAGTCATTTGGATTCACTTGCAATTCACCTTGATTCACTTCTAGCTCACCACTAGCAGTTGATTACTTATTACATACCGCTGGCAAATCTTGTATGTTGTTCCTGTTATAAATATTTCCAACCTTCGTTTTGGTTATTCTTATTCAGTAACCTTTTCCTAGGTTACAACATATACCTTCTCATTTCATTTTCTATTTGTATGCAAGTGGCATGCTCACAGTATATGCTTGGGATTATTCTAACATCCTTCCCTAAAAGAGAAAGTTTACCTAACAGTTGAAATAGGTCTTTTGCGTAATCTATACAACATTTGTATTGCTCTCTCTCTCTCTCTTTGATATCATTCTGGTTATAAATATCGCATTTCTTGTTCCATAGAAAGAAGAGTAACACTTGATTCCACCTAACCTGAAATATGGGAACATATCAAAAGGATTTTCACTTTCAATCTCTTGAGACCTCTTGTATGAATCTTATGTAATCTATCTTTCAATCATCTTCTCACTTCTGAATATTTTCAAGTGCTGATGGAGTTTTTCTCTACTTTGCATTTTAGAAGTATAATAATTGACAACTCCTTGTCATCCTCTTCTGAGCATTATTCCAAGAGACATGTCATCACTTCTCAAACAAGTTTTGGCTATACTTCGTTTCTGTGCCAAGTCCCTTCAGGACATAGGTGGTCACAGCCCACCACAATTTCCTATCCTTTCTAATTCTAAGTAAGATTTATCTTTTTGCTATACCTCTCAATCCTTGTTTTGCCATTCATTTACACAAAATCATTAGGTAGATTACTTACTAGATTTCCTCTGTCTCTCTTGCCTTCAATGTGTCTTTTGAGTATCAGATTCTCTAAACCTTTTACATTATGCGTCTTAGAAGTTTCAACTCTCTTTCTGATTCTAAGTATAAGCATCCTTTTTGTTTCTAATTTCCTTAAAACTTCCTTATTACTCGCATGTTCAGTCCATTGTATTCTCAGCATCCTTCTGTAGAACCACATTTTTGTTGCTTCAAGTCCCTTTTTCATCTGTGAGGAGTTTGTCCAACATTCAGTACCATATAAGAGGATTGATATTATATAACAGTTCAGTACTCTTTTCTTTGTTTCTAATGAAATTTTCCTGTTTCTTAATATTTTGCTTAGATTTGGGCATTACAGTTAGATTTTGTTTTATTTCACTCTACTTCTAGAATAGTGCAAGCAGTTTTATTGGCCTTGGGAACCAGGTTAAAATAAATAAAACCAGAATCATAGTCTCCCATGATAACCCCTGAAAAAAAAGTAGAGCTGATTTTGCAAAATAGGTCAAGCTTTCCCTAACCCCCCACTCCAAACACACACAAACATATATTGATAAGATAAATATGTGTGTGGAGAGTGTGGGGGGTTGCTGGAAAGTTATCAATTTGTTCTACTTTTTTAAATCACTATTTCAAATACCAAACCAAAGAATGTTTTGGTATTTGGAAGTGTTAAATAAACATCTGTCTATATTTCTGAAATGAAGTATTGTAACTATTTACACTATTTACATTGTTCAAACTGTTGTCATCATCTTTACTGCCACATTCATGACATTACATCTGTTGTATGCTCCAGCCTTCATCAGGTGATATTTGTTGAAATTAGGTTCTCAACTAAAAGAAAGCAGTAACTCCTCCCACCAAAAACCAAACAAAAATTAGGATCATTTTTTTTTTTTAGTAGTGAAATTACCAGCAATACATTTTTATAAAAATATTATTACCAATAGTACATTTTATAGTAGAATTACCAACAATACATTTTTATAGAAAAAGGATAATCAACATAAAACTAAAAAAAAATGTAAAAATGCATTTTGTAATGAAATTACCAGTAATATATTTTCATAAAAAAATTACCAACAATACATTTTATCATCTACAAACTATATATCTAGAAAAAAAAATATACATTTACCCTGAAAGTATAAAATTATGTACCAAATATTTGGATTTCTGCATTAAATAACCCATAGAGATGTTGACATACTGCTAAATGAAATCAATCAAAGGCTTCTAATCTTTTTTTAATTTTCTTTTTTAATCACTTTTTTTTTCTTTTTTTTTTCTTATTCTTAGATTGTTATTGGAGATGAAAACTGGTCAGTGTTTCGTCGATACAGTCGATTCAGACAACTGCACACAGATATGAAGATTCGTTATGCTGAGGTAAGTGATTTTGTTGCATGTGCACCTGATTTTCACCTGTTCTTTTGCGAGAGAAACCAAAATCAGATTAGGATTGTTACACTAATTTTCCTTTATATAGAAGAATCAATATCTAAAGAATGTTTTTTGTTTTTTTTTTTTTTTTTTTTTTTTAGTGGCTTATTTCAGAGAAGGCTTAGAAATATTTCTGGAAAATGAAGACGTCAGAATTGGAAACATTCATTTATGTATTAGCCACATTTAATAGCATTTTATAATCAGTTGCATACAGAGTTGTTTTTATGAAGTTTTGAGAATACCTTCTTAATTTCATATACAATTCTGTCAACAAGGCTTAGCATTTACCAACTACATTACCCACAAAAGAGGTAAGAACCTCACACACAGACACATTCAAAAATAGCCACGTTTTCGATGGATACTTACAAACATGGGTATAAACCTAATTAATGTGTACCATTTTTAACACTAGGGTAAACCAAACACTGTAATTTTTTTACCCTATAAGACAAAGTTGTTAAATTAACCAACCTAACTTATTCCATTAAAGCAATAAAAGCAAATACAAATATTCAAAAATAATTCATAACAAAAAATGGATGTAATGAAAAATATATATATTAGTAATTAGTACTACCAAAATATAATGATTAAAATACAGTTAAAGCGGTTTATCGGTCCTCTTGCATTAGAGAAAAAAATGTGTGCAGCAATTAAATAAAAATACAACCCTAGACTAAAAAAATATAACATTAAAGGCTAATTACCTTTAAGCCTACCAACCACACTTTCTGCTTACAGAGAGATGGTTGGTAGGATTTAATATACACTGATTTCGAAACTTTCATGCAATAATTGGAATTAGCCCTACTCAGCACTGAGAGCATGTCCAGGCTATAAGACCAGGTACAATGCTGGTTTTAAATCAAATATTCAGTTATTGCTGAACCTGATACATTAACACACTTTGGTAAATTGTCCACCTTTCCCTTGTGAATATTAGCTGGAACATATTGGCTGATCCATGTTCCAATCTTTGGTCTGTTCCACCTACATAGTCAGCATCACGACATCTGAATTTGTGAATTACAAAACTAATATGATGGCTAGGCACAACATCCTTCTGAATTGATCTCAACATAAAGTGGGCACTAAAAACTATATTCAGATTGGCAGAAAAATAACAGCTTCTTACATCAACTGAAATTTGCTTAGTTGGTTGGTTGACTGCTTTTGTTTAGCATCATATCAACTGCTAATGGGTTACTTAATGCCGAAGTCTAAATATTTTGTATACAATTTTAATTATATTTTTGGAGATAATAATGATTTAGTGAAACAAGTCTTATTCCATATCAGAGATGGAGAAGAGGTAGATTCATACCTTTCCCAAGGTGCATAAGTTAATATAACAAACCCAACCAGAATTGGAACTCAGCTCTCAAATTAACTGTTATCCATAACACTACTATCAAATCCAAATTTACAGCCGCTAGTATTCTCAAGCAGTCACCCATCTAGGTACTTACCAGGTTCTATATTTCTTAGCTTTGGTGATTGTATGGCAACTGGTGTTTCAACATGATGTGGTCATAAGCCTGAAATTTGCTTAGCAAATCTCACATTTTGCCCACTAATCTAACTTAGTCTGCATCTGAGTCATTGTTGTCGTTATTAACATGTTTAAGCACAAATCTGTGTAAACAAAGACAAAAACAGTTAGCAAGGCTAATAATCTGTCAGTCACACTTATATTATTTCCTGATTGCTGACAATCCCTTTCTTCCCGAGTTGGGATGCTGTTGTATCTCATGTTTTCAAGATAACACAGAAATAAATAAGAAAAACAAACTGTAGGTAAATAATGAAATAGGCTTACGACATGAAGGTACACTTAGCAACTGACCTAATTTTAACTCAGTATTTATCCAACCGCCCCACAGAGCGGGATGTGGTACAAGGCCAGTTTTTCCAAGTCTTGGCAAAAATTTCCCATAGACTCCGTAATAACAGAATCAGATTTGTCTACCTCCCCAAACGAGACTTTTCCTTTGGCATAGCATCGTCTGGGTTCCTCTCTGCCTGAAGGCAAAGAGTTTGACAAGCACTAAGAACACAGTGCGCAGCTAAGACCTAATGCTAACTCTTCTCAACTCTGCTTATTTATATAAATGGATGATTCCATACATTTATCTCTATCTGTAAAAGGCAGGATGTGTGTTTGTGTGTGTAACAAATGCACGGCTGCAATTCTCGATGGATTTGCACCAAAATTTACATGCACATGCTTCAAGTTAGCAAGAAGACCAAGACCGACTTTGCATTTCCCAACTCCCATCGATAATGGAAATAATCAATTTTTTCATGCTTCTACGGCACTTTTCATGAAGTTTGCGGCCATTTTCTACTGGCCAGAGTGAGAGCCTATAGCTGGCTGCTACAAATAGGCAGGAAGATTCTATTGGCCAGTGTGAGAGCCAACAGCTGACTGACATGAATGTTAACTAGCATGCAAAAAAAATCAATAGATGCATTCATCACAAGTGGGAAAAATTTAAATCTGCATGGCACTTTACTCCAATTGGCTCATTCGCTTGCTTAAACTCAACGTTGATTCTGATTCCACAGAACTGGGTTGGGTGTGAAAAAGTATTTGTTGTTAACATTCTTTTTTCATTCGGTTTTTCCAGTTCTGAGTCCTTTTTTTAAAGTTGATCGTTTGTGTTCATTTTTTTAGTTCTTTTTACGTAACAGATTTAATGTTTAGTATAGAGCTTCGAAAAAATTCGCAGTGTGAGATAGGCAAGAAGTAAGGCATATAGCAACATCAGCATGGCAAAGGGCACTCCATTAAAGGCAAGGAAGGGCAAAAATATTTTAAGTCAAGTGATAGCAATTGCTGTATGAGTCGTGCGATTTTTGAATCAAGGACGGGCAACGCCGGGCCATGCTGCTAGTGTCCTATAAAACAGATGCACACTGTTCATATTGTGTTCTAAACTTGGGAAAATAAATTCTAAGTTAAAAAATTGCAAAAAAAAAAATTCACTATCATCAAATTTTTTCCCTACCAGCAGAATTTTTTTTTTTTTTTAAATTGTATCACCCCCTGCAAGGCAGCAGAGTAACTAAGCCACAAGGGGGTTACTGAGAAATAAAGAAAACAGAATAAGAAATTAGAGAAACATTATTAAAGAATGAGAACAATAAAAGAAGAGTAATCAAGAGGACAGTAGATAACAACTGATATTGCATTTAAATTTTTGAAGTTCAAAAGTTGGCTGGAAAGCAAAGAACCAGAAAAGAGTTCCACAGGCAAGAAGTGCAAGAGAAGAAACTATTAGCATCTGCTCTTTTCACAGATATAAATCCTAAATCTGATTCCTTGATAATGAACCTCTACATCATTGTTTTTCAACCTTTTTTACTTGATGGCACATTTGTAGAATAACTAAAATACAGAGGCTCACTTTAAATTTTAATAAGGAAAAATTAATCAAGAAATTTGAAAATATGAAATTTTAGTTTAACATTCCCAAAGAAGATTAGTGGTACAGTTTTTATTTAAAGAGGCTTATAAAGAATTGACTGTTTTTTTAGAGAGACTGATAATGACTGATTTAAATCCCTTTAGAAAGGCAAAAGCTAAAGGATTATCCACTCTTTAAAGATTAAGAAATTTAGCATCCAGTTCAAAATATCAAATGACAAAACCTTGATTTAGACAATGATGTCATGTGTTTGATGTATCTAGCTTTATAAAAATAAAGATTTTTTTTTTTTTTTTAAATATAAAAATAATTCATAAATTATCCTTCTGTTAACTTGGGGCACACCTGGCTACCTTTCAGAACACATTAGTCTTCCCAGATGCACAGTTGAGAAATACTGATCTATAGTCATATGTAAAAACTTTGTCAAATTAAATGGGAGAGTGATAGAGATGCAGAAAAGACTGTTGGTAAAAGTAAAAATCTTGTCAATATATCACATATTTAAATTGAGTTGACACTAAAATACAACTGCAATTATAGTTCCCCACCTGCTCAGTCTGCCAGAATTTTCTGCATCATTATAGATGTACTGTATTTGACGGCATATAAGATGCACCCCAATTTCAACGGGGCAAATCAAGAAAAAATTAGTAATCAGTAAAATTATTAGTAAATGGTACAGCTTAGGCTATATTTATGAGGTATTATTTTGGTTAAACAAGTCATTATTACAATTAAATGAAAAATAATAGGAAAATAAAGAACACGAGCCTATAAAAACTTTATTATATCCAAAGGTAAGAAAACACAATAAAAAATCAAGCAATTATTACAATTGAGCAAAACAGTACAGTTGCCATTAAAATTCAGTCAAAAATTTTCCTTTATATGATCTGTACAACCTGCATCTTGTAAATGTCTTAGTGGAATAATTAGGATATAAAAATTCTGATTGTATTTATACCAATGAAACCGGAAGTTATCACAAGAAAAATATAAATGAAGCAAATATATTTTACAAATATATAATTTGAATATTATTGCATATAATTTTAGTGAAACAAAAGTACTAATATTAAACGTGATGAAATTAATATAATGAAAGTTACTCTAAAGTCTAAGCTAATAGGAGTTGCCAGGTAACTAATTTCAGCTGACTATTGCAAATTTTAAACCTACATATGGCATATAAGACACATGGGTATTTTAAAAGATGTTTTTAGTAAAAAAAGTGCGTCTCATATGCCATCAAATACGGTAATTATTATTATTATGAAATAAGAGTTTTGATGAGCTTGTTTCATAAATCCTACCATTCATATTACGTAGACATGTATTAACATCTATCATCTTGAAGAGATAACAATGGGATTACCCCACCATGTGTGCTACAAGACTTCTTTTAATGACTGCTAGGTGGTTTGGTAATGAGCATTATAAAAGTAAAGGTCTCAAGCTCCCTTTCTCTTTTTGTCCACTCTCCACAGGACATGGTAGAAGCAAGACGTTACTCGCTTCTCTGCTGGAAAGATGTCTTTCTCTTGGGCAAACCAAACTTTTATTTAACCAAACTACGTGACACATCATACAAATCACATAAATATTATTCTATATATATAAATATAAAATAAAAAGCCTATGTATGTGTTGAATTCATTCCTTTTGAAAATGTTTGAATTTTCAGCCTAATGCCATTACAATTTGTTACTAGTTCTGTGACAATTAATAACCTCTTCATTATTATATAATTATCAAAATTAGGCTGATGCTAACCTCCAGGAGAGTAATACTCTACATATTCTTGAGCTCACATTTTCCACAGACATGAAGTAGAGTAACTATATCAAATCAATTGCAGCATATGTACTGCAAAGAAAGTTGATTCACTATATTGAACCAAAACCTTTTTCTCAGCAGAATTCATCTTGCACATTTATAAATCTTCCATTCATTCATGGAATAAATACTACTGCCATATCTGGCCAGGTGCTAATGCTGTATATCTCAAGATTCTTGACAAAAATTCAAAGAATGGTCTGTAATGTAAGTGATCCTGACCAAGCATCTTGAGTCACTTTCCCACCAACGTGACATGGCTTCCCTCTCTGTCTTTTCTGCAACTATTTTCATGGCAACTGTTGTGATGAGCTTTTTCCTTAGTGCCTCAACTACATGAACTTAAGTGTGGTACTAGATTGGCAACTAGGTCTCACCGTTTTACAGTTGAACTAGCTAGATGCAATTGCCACTTCAATTCTAACAGTTTTTTTTTTCTTGCTACCTTGTCACCAAAATTCTTCAAGCATTTACCATAATTTCTCGAATTTTTTTTACTGTAAATTACAGGTGATAGTAGGGGTGCATATTATAAAAAGGTTTAAACAAAAATATTTTTTTGTTATTGATTTATAATAATAAATACATACTTCTTGCTTTAAAATAAGAAAGATATTATCCCAATTTTCATTTTAAATCCAACAATAATAATTGTAACATTTTTTTGTCAATAAATTTGTTTATCAGCAACTGCATTTTTTATTTGGCAAAAAAATAAAAAATCTATAAAAAGGCCAATTTCGAAGAAAAGAGAATATCAAGAACAGTTTATTGAAATTTTAATTTTCATCACCATCATCATCACTTTCTATTATAGAATCAATATCTAAATTGTCATTAAACAAATTATCATTCACAAAATTATTTTTATCCTCTTCATTATCTTCAAACTTATGTTAGCCTCATTCAACTCATATTCTGTAGCTTCAGCTCTGTTTCCTATTGTCATCTTCTGCTAATTCTAATACTTTTCATTTAAAATTTGCACTATGTCTCGCACGATTTCACAACATTTTGGCCATGAAATAAAGTGTCATATTTATTGGGAAAACCACAGGGTAATTTACAACATTATTTTAGCCGCTTAATTTCGATTTTACTCTTAATGTCAAGGTCGACAAAATGTCTTCGTAATTTTTTTTTTTTTCAACAAAATTTATAAATGCATTATACATAGGGATAGATATATTTCTTAATTTTTGGATCATTTATTGGGGTGCATATTATTTTCAAGAAATTGCTGTAAATGCAGCTTCAATTGCCATCTTCTGTCTTCTTCGACGATGTTCGTTTATTGTTCTTTCCTCACTTCTTCTCACAAAAGTCTTTTCATTCTCTGTCATTCCCTGTAATCCCCTTGCATTCTAGTGGCATTATCACCTTGCTTGGTGCGAAATGGTTAAAAAAAAAAAATTTTAAAAGACTCTTAGTATCTTGTGAGTATGCAGAGCCACTTCACTGGGAATTTTACTAACTCTAACAAATACTTACCTGTCAAAAATTTCCTCAAAGATTTTCCTTCCTTTTTTTATTTTTTTATTTTTTTGATTTTCATATTTTCTAGGTTGTATCATTGATGTTCCCACCCAAGAAGCTGTTCAGTCGATCGGAAAAGGTTGTCTCAGAAAGACGGTATCAACTGGAAGTAAGTATTTACTAACTCCTGCATTCATCTTATTTTAGGCATTTAAAACATTTTTTATATAACTTTATATGCTGACATATAAGCTGACTTTTTTTTAATTTATTAAAATTAAATGTTCCCTCCTCCTTCACCACCAAAATAAAAGCAATTGGCTGCTACATGAAGGCATAATAAGTTACTGATATATAGTAGAGATAAAAATAAAATCATAGCACATATTGGGCATCAAATGTACCAAATGCGTAGAGAGACAACGGTTCTTCCTTTTCTGTGTCTCATGTCCCTTCAGGACATGGAAGATCATGGCTCTCCACAACTTCTTATCCTTTGTAACTCTTAGTAAGTTTTGTCTTTTCGCTACCCCTCCTACTCCCAGTTCTAACATCCATCTATACAATCTTGTTAGGTGGATTGTTCACTATTTCTGTCCTGTTTCCTTGTGAGTGTTGAATTTTCCAAGCCTTCTTTACTCATTATCTGTCCCAGAAATTTGGACTCTCTTTCTGATTCGAAGTGTAAGCATCTTTTTTGTTTCATTTTCCTTAAAACCTATTACTCACATTCAGTCTATGGTATTCTCAGCATCCTTCTGTAGAAGCACATTTTTGTTATTTTTTTTTTTTTTGCAATGACATTTACCCTGTACTGTAACGCATTTCACTTCTGCCAACACCTTTTGGTGTAACCAAGCTTAGTAGTTCAGTCCTCAGGGTCTTAGGACAATGTTTTAACCATGAGCTAACTCTGCGCTGGTCAATGCTGACACTGGTCTAAGCTGGTTATTGGTCACTTTGATCCACACCATCACTGCCCACATTATGTTCTTGATCTCAGAGCAGTGAAAGATTGAATGTCGTCATAAGGAAGAAAAATATCTTCAAAACATAAAATAAAATGAGAGATTCATGGGGTTAATCTTTCAATTGGTTAATATAGCTTTTAGTACAACAAAAATAAACCCTTTTCAGATCGATCTCTATAGTGACACTGGGTCTTGTCTAAACTTCTGGAAGCTGGGTTCAAAAGTCTTAGAATCAGGAATTCTGGTAGCAGCTGACATGGATTCCAGAGGCATTCAATACAGCTTCTCAGCTCAAGTCTCTAAGCACCACAAAGTCATCAGCTTATATGCACTTTGGCCCAAAACTGGTGTGGGAGCAAAGGTTTCTTGGAATTCATTGATTTTTTTAATTTTCACATCAATTCAAATAAAGCTTTCTTCATTCCCTATTTCTGCTTTCGTAATCAACTTTCCAAATTTGGAGAATTATCCTCCTTCCTTGGGAATAGTTACAGGAATTCCTCCTCTCCTAACTCCCACATGCTTCACTTCACATCTCACACCACCACTCTATACAGATGGTGTCAAATTCTTCTCCTTCCTCCTACTTTCCTAGCATTCAATCTCAGCCTATTTCCCAGAGCCTATATAACTGTCTTTGTGATAAATCTAATTCTTAAAGCATGTAGGCAGAAGGGTGGAGTTCCATTCCAGTCATTAATTTTAATTCTCCGAATCTTTTCTATTTTTCTGGAACTATCTCTGTCCAACAAAAATACAAACCAGACCACCAATGATGAAATTTGTTTTCATAACTCCAGCCTTAATCACACAATACCCATTAAGAGAAATTTATTCTCATTTAACTTTTCAAGCGAGAGATAAAATTATTTCCCAATTTGTTTTTGTCAATGAAAATATATTTGTTTACCTAAATTCTCAACAAAGAGACTCTCTGTTTTCCATCCCTGGGCCAATCATCAGCTCAGCGAAAACATAGGCCAGATCACCTACCTGTTATGACAGGTCGATTTTCATAATTTTAACATTTACAGCAGGTTCATTCACTATTTTCATTTGTCAATTTGTTTTCGTTAACAAAAATCTGGTCCTTGTCTGAATTTCTGTTCGCCAATGACATGTGTTTGACTAATTTTCCAAGAAAGATAAACTTATTCTCCAAATCTTTTTCATCTGCATGCCAGGCTATCGATAGATAAGAAAAATAAACTTTAGGAAAGAAATACTGATGGTCCCATTCTCACCAAGGAAAATGTCACCACACTCTATCTTTGAGCCTATATTTCATTTTGTGCTTAATCCTTTTTTTTTTCCTGCTTAGAATTAATGTTGTAAGAGGCACCATTTCAAGTGATAATGCCACCAAGAGACAAGGAGCTACTGGAAGGGAAAGTGAAGGAAAAGGCTTTAGAAGGAACTGAAAATTCAGTCCAAAACTGGGAACAAGGGATGATGGACAAACCTATCTACTCCTATTGACCAAAGAAAAAGTAAATAGTAGATAAAAGTTCAGTTTCAGATGGAGACAGAAGTATAGAGTTGAAGAAGGCTTTAGAAGGAACCGGAAACAAGGGATAACCCTGTATTCCTGTTCAAAAGACTGGGAGATGTGGTAACTGGATGATAGGCAAACCTATCAACTTTTTAATGAAATGGATTAAGCTTAGTTGACTAAAACAGTGATACAATCTCATCACTATATTTTGACAAGTACACCTCAAGCCTCACTGAACAATCAGATCGCCATAATCGGACTATTGTTAGTACTTTATCTACTGTTAATTAATTGTAATTACATTGAATAAAATGCTTATTGAAGGCAAGTCTAGCTGAACAACAGATAAGGTTAACTTATTTGAATTATTACTTGCTATTCTTAGGTTTCTTTGGATTCATTCTTTGCCAATGTAATTATCAACACCATCTGTGTGTTTATCAATTTTATTTAGTTTACAGTTTTATTCAAGATTTTGTTTTCCTCCATTCTATTCTATTCTAATAGTTTCCTTTCTTGCCCGTGGAACTCTCTTCTAGTATCTTTGCTTCACTGACACATGAAATCTTCAAAAATTTAAATGCAATGTCAATCGCCATCTTCTGTCTTCCTGAATCCTGCTCTTTTATTGTTCTTTCTCCTCACTAAAGTTTTCTCGTTCTCTTTCACTCTTTAGTTACTACTTGCATCTTAGTGGCATTATCACCTCGCATGGGGTGAAATGATTAAAATAGAAACAAAGGGTCTCTGTCTGGTAAACAGTAATCATACCTGGTTTTTTTTTTTTTTTTTGTTTTTTTTTTTACAATATATTTAATAAGATAATCTGTGAACAAATCTATTTCTGTTCTCTAAATTTGCCTCCTATAAAATAGATTTTTTCTTAAAAATTTTTCCACCTAAAGTGGGTCCATATCATGTTGAAACACACCAATTCTCATACCATCCCTGAAGTGAAGCAATATTAAGCCTGAACAGTACCTAGATGAATAACTGTTTGGGAATACCAAGTGCTGTAAGCTTGGATGTGCAAGCAATGTAATGGATAACGGCTCGAAATTGGAAATCAGAGAGCCAAGTTCCAATTCCAGTCAGGCTCGTTATGAAACCACTGCATCGAGCCCACCTCCACCCACCCCACTACATATGCATTAATTAGTAAGACTTGTAACAGTAAATCATTATCTCCAAAAAATACTTACAATCTAAAAATATTTTCTGACTTTATATAGCCTGCAAAGAACAATCAATCAATCTACATAAAGATAAAATAATATTAAATTACTGAAAAAAAAAATTATGAAAAGTTACTTATAATCTGAAACGGTCAAAAAAACAAATTAAGCAATCTGTCATTTGGCCATGGCTAAAATATTTTTGATATGATTTAAAATTTTTTTTTTTTTTTTTTTGTGCCTAAATTTTTCTTTTACTTTTCTTTCCCAGATTTATCTGCGGAAACTGTTGGAAATTTTGATGCATATTCCATCTTGTCCGCTCAACCCATCGAACAATGACTTCCTCTCTAAACAGACCCTCTGTGACTTTGATCCCTTCTTCAAGAAAGGATTATTTGAAGCAACCAAACATGGAACATCATAA